TGTGCCAAAAGGGGCAGCCGAGTCAACGCTGAGAACACCGGTGACGTAATTTTTGTCATGAAACCGCGACAACCCTTTTCCAACTTCGGCAGTTCAGAGGGGAGTGGGCGGTAGGCTTTACAGGAACTGAGTCTCATCCCAGTGGCTTCACATTCAGCTATGCTTCAGTGCAAACTGAAGATGCCAACAGAACCACATCATCTGCRTAAAGCAGAACAAGACTCTGTGGTTCCCAAGCCAGACACCCTCCTTTCCAYTACTGTACCTTGAGATCTTGTCATTAAACACTACAAACAGGATACAAGGGACAGCCCTGGTGGAGTCCAACCTGCACTGAGAACGAGCTTGACTTTGTGTCAAGAATGTAAACACAACTCCTTACAACACAGACACCCCATATTCCTGCACCACCTCCCACAAAATGCCTTGAGCTACACAGTCATAAATCTTTTCCAGGTCCTCAAAACATACGACTGGAGAATCAGATTCCCACGACCACCTTAGCAACTCCACAAGGATAAAAATCTGGTCCACCATTCAAGACCAGGTCACACTTTTCCTCCTGAACCTAAGCTTCGACACTCAGTTGATTTGCTACAGAAAACACTAGAATAGCAAAGGAATAACAAAAGGTAAGCTAGAAGTTAAAAAGTTTAGCTAAAAGTAGCTAAAATTATGTTTTTGGAAGAGTGTTTTATAAATTAGAAAAGGAAATGTTTTGTGGCATCTTTGTGTGAACAACAGCTGCTCCAGGTTCTRAAGGTGGACAGGGCCAACCCAAGTTTTATTGTGATCAAACCATGGGAATGGCTGTTGGAGCGTGTTTTAATGCTTGAATAACTGATAGATTATTGAAAAAAGTACCTTATTGGTGTAATATTAATATATTCAATGTTTGGTTTTCAGGTGCGAAGGTCAACGCTGCTCGGCTCCATGAGACCCCACTCCACCATGCAGCTAAATCCATGAGAGCTGAGATGATCCAGGTCCTGGTTGAGTTTGGAGCCAACATCTATGCCAGAGATCAACACAACAAGAAACCTGTGGACTACACAGCACCGGGCTCTCCGTCTGCCGCGTGCCTGCTGTTGTATGAAAGTAAGTTTTGACAAAGATCAGGATGGGGAAAAACAGCCTCGCTATTTAGATGAGCCTGTTTATGGAGCTGAAGCAGTGTTAGAGGAACACCATCAGAGGGCAAACTAGAGAAGTTTCTCCTGTAGCCGGAGTGTTAAACTTATTTTCACTGAGGGCCACATTAAAGAGCCACTTGTTATGAACTTTAATGTTTTGTGTTTAATTTCAACTAAAGACGAAATGTCCTGTTCCTTGTCTTAATGCTACGTCTGAGCAGAGCTAACAAACAATATTGGAGCTCTACGTGGTATTTTCAGCACAGAAACAGTATTTTAACACATTCTCTTATAAACACTGAAAAGTACTATGTGTACGACTGACGAAATGTGACATAAATAATGCAGAAATACTAATAAGAGAGTTTTACTCACTGTTGAGTTGTGGTGAGTTGCTGCTGTCTTGAAATCTGAACTCTCCCACTTTCCTACAGGGAATTCCCACTGGAGGGGTATTGCAGCTTAAATTTACAGTTAGTAAGTGGGAAATCAACCCCAACTCAGAACTGCCTTAACCCTCCTGCTGCCTCAGAGTGGTAACGCTCTGCTCATCTTAACTTCTAACATATTCAGTCTCTCTAAAATGTTTTGTAGACCCAGTCCTCTGATTGACCTGCTGATAATTAACATTAGTTGCTAAATGTTCCTTCAGCTGTTTATTTTTTAATTTGCACTTATTTTTTACAGCTGTTTGTTTCCTTGGAACAACGATTATAGCACATGTTGCTATCGATATATTTAAAACAAGCTTGTTCTTTAGGCTGTTCCCTTCTGTAGGGGACGCCACAGTGAGCTCACATGAAAAATTTGACAATGGTTTTAGATAGAAAGTTCAAACCAGCAGCCTCAGATCGCCGCCCCCAATTTCAAAAATGACCCTAAACAGTGATCGTTTTTAGTTTAGACATCTAACATGATTACTATGTTTCAGTTTAAATAAAAATACGACTTTATGACATTTACTAATCAATACATTTTTAACACTAAACACACCTGAACGTTTTAAAATCAGAACTGTACTTTTGTTTTCTGGCTTGTTCTGTTTTTAGAATATGACGTTCTACAGAGAATATTTGGATTTCAGTCGTTTCCAAACACAATAGCTTAAAGTGCCTGTGACATGCCTATCCTTCAAATACAAAAAGTCAAAGAAAACATCTTTATACTTAAGAAAATTGGCATTGTACACATAATTTTACCCATTTTGTCACATAACTGACCTATTTTCTTTTGAATTTGTCTCAGCCAAAGTGAAACAGGAAGTGACATCAAAGGGAAGCTCTTTAATAAAATAAACTTGCTGGTTTCTTATTATTAAAACAAAATTATTTAAACTTTAACTCTTCTTTATCTCTCTTTGATAGCGATTAAAAATAATATCAAACATCAGATTCTTCTCTACAGTCTGTTTTGTTAGCTGTTGTAACATGCTCTGTTTACATGCTGACACTCCCTTTTGACATCACTTCCTGTTTCTTCACATGCAAATATCTCAACAACCGTTCATCCCAGCAGTGTGAAATTTGCTTTACAAAATGTTATCAATGTTTTCTTTCCAAAAATGCATTCATGTTTTTTACCAAAATTTGATGTCACAGGCACTTATTCTTGGTGTATTATGTAGCGTCTCAGATCTAACAGTCCTGTGTTCTTGTGCAGCCACTCCTATGAGTCTGCAGCAGCTCAGCAGGTTGGCTGTGAGGAGGAAGCTGGGCACCGCGGCTCTGAAGGTCATCGGTCAGCTGGACATCCCAAAGCTCATCATTAACTACCTCTGCTATCAGTGAGACGAGCTGGATCAGAGCTGGTGGAACAAAGTAGAACTCTGTCCGTTTGCAGACATAAATGTGCCAAGCTCCACATCGTCACAAGCTTCTGTTCAAATCTGCACTTTATTCCTCACATCTTTAGAGTTATGGACGTTAAACTGTACTTCTTTAATCAAAAAGCGATTTGTCTTAAATCTTATGTCATGTGACAACTGTGTTTTGTGGAGGCTAATGTTTTTAGCACAGCGTGTGTGTTCTTGTATTAGGATCGTTTCTGGTATACGCACTTACCTTGTCAAGACCAGTAGTCCTAATGGGGACCAAAAACTGGTCCTATTATGGTGGAACTCCATTTTTGGGTTGGGGTTTAGGTTTAGGACAAAGGTCTGAATTGAGTTTAGGCTAGGTTTGGGGTTAGGTATGTACTGGGAGGGTTAGGGTTAAGAACTACAGAAAATGATTGGGAGTCAATGAATGGTCCTAATAAGGATAGTAATACAAATCCATGTGTGTACAATTCATAAAACATTGCATGAACCACTAAAACATTTTAGTAAGAAGTTCACAAAGTAATCATTAGATGATAAAACAGATTAACTTCAGCAGTCAACCTGATTCAAGATGGCCGCCACAACCAGTTGACTTCAGAAAAAACTAAATTTGTTACAACCTAAATTACAACCACTGAGCTCGTATTTAGTATGGTAACACATTTATACATAAAACCTCAAATCTACTCGTTGGAATCAGTCTGTTAGCAAAATATCTCCTAAGAACATATTTCAGTGAACATGAATTTACTGTCGTCTACAATTCAAGATGGCCGACACAAAGAACCGATGTTAGCTTACACAAGCTATATCTTTAACGTTCATATCACAAACTCAACAATCTTTACACTGAAAATTTTATATGGAGTTCTGTGAAATTCACATTTTAAATCTCAGTGTTTGTAAAACATTTCTTTGACCCACTATAATCCCATGTGCAGGAAAAGTTCTAAAAGTCAGGATTTTTATCTTTGTATGAACAAAGTTTAGTAAATGATATTAATGTGTGAACATGTTGACATTTGAAATATACCAAACTTATTTATTCCTTTAAAATATAAAACAAAACAACAGAAAAAAGAATCAACCCTCAGTCAGATTGTACATTTCAGGAGAAAATGTCCTGATGCATCTCAGTAATCCAGGTAAAAAAATCAAAAAGAAAAAAATTGTATAGGTCTTCTGGACGGGTTCTTCTCTAATGAAACRTTTCGTCTCTCCTCCAAGAGACTTCTTCAGTCTGAGAGTTTCAGGCAAAATTCAGGCTTTTAAGC